TATACGAAATACATGTTATGTGTATATTTTGTTGTTATATGCGTGAATGTATATTCACTTTCTTCTATCTCATAGATATGATTTATTCTCTATGAAATATGTGTTATGTGTATGTGTCTATACAGGTTTTAAACTATGTAAAAAAAATATTTTTATCTACTAATATGTCGGGTAGAACATGGGTAGATAGTTGTGTGATAAACAGATGAGAAGCCTCGATGTTGTTTTTGATTCAGTCATCTAGTGGAGTTTAGATGACGACCACAGACTTTTCTAGATAGTCCTGTGGAACGCTAGCAGGTTCGCCACCTGTAGGTGTTAATGAACTTGGGTATTCATTCGCTGTACTCCATCCCCCTCATGGTTTCCTTATTTGACATATATTGTCGGGAAACCCCCGAATGCATGTGTTGTCGCCCCGATGAAATATTCTTAGACTATGTCCCTTGTGTTAGTTATTTTAGTGACATAAAGTGAGAATAACGGGAATGGGTAATTTGGTTATTGTTGGTTGGTGGAATTAAATATAATTATTTATTGTGGGTTGAAACCCCTATATGCTCATCATGCTCCCAAGCCTGACCCACTCAGTTTATTTGTATTACAGGAAGTGGTGTAAGGGCATAAGATGGATGAATCATCAAGTGGTTTTGTTTACAAGTCTATATATATATATATAATATATATATATATATATATATATATATATATATATATATATATATATATATATTTGTTGAATAACTTGTAATGTTATCGTTTATGTTTTATAGTATGTATCGGAACATGACATCCTAAGTTTTGATTATATAATGAAAATACATTTTTTTTATGAAATGCTTTGGTAAATATTATTTTATCACGTTATGTTTTTGGGAACAAATTCCGCAACTCTTTCAAATCAAAATGATTTACTCTAAAATTATTTTAAAAACATAAATGAAAATCGGTCTTTTCTGGCCGAGATTTTGGGGGTGTCACACGGGGTCCGATGACAATCGTATGCTATGAATCTCTATGATTATTGCATGTGTATGTGATTATTTGATATATGTTGTATGCATGTTGGGCGGGGCCTGATCTATTACCGAGCGGGGCTCGATGCCTGGTGGGGGCCGATGTCGGGTGGGGCCCGATTCCGTACGGGGCCCGAAGACAAGGCGGGACTCAATATATGTTTATTGTGTGTATGGTATGCGGTACTTTGGGGAACTCACTGAGTTTTGTGTTTATGGCTTTTGGTTTATGTTGCAGGTACTCCCGGTTCCAAGGGGAAGAGTTCGGGTTGACTGCATCGTACACACCATATGGATTCTATTTATGGGACACTCTGATTTTGATGTTTTTTTGACATATTTACTTGATCGGGATGTATAAACAATATTTTGAAATATTGTTTTGCTTAAATCAAATATGAAATTTTTGGGTCAGAATTTTTTAATGTTTCAAGAACTTACTGGCAGAAGTTTAGGAGACTTTTAACCGAAAAAGAATGGTTGTCAGAATCAGTAGCCGGAAATGAAGAAGAAGAAGGAAGCGAGAACAAGGTTATTTTATTTTATTTTATTTATTTGCAGGTGATGCGATGAAGACGAAAATGAGGAATTGGGTTTTTTCCCGATGTGTACGATAGAGAAGTGGTACGATGGGTTAGTGTAGAAAGGGGGTATGTGGATTTCGTTAATTTTTATTTATTTAAATAATAAATTATAAATAAAAAAGGGAAAAAAGAAATGAAAGGAAAAATTGTCTTTTTTACATTCATCAGGAACCTATTTCATGGGAAATTCTTAATTTTAGGACAAAATTCACAAAAAAATCCTAATTTTGGACCTTCCATGCAAGTTAAAAACTTTTTGGATATCAACATTTTTTCCTTTTTTTTTTTTCAAACCAGAATGACTAATTTTGCAAAGCAGAATGAGCAGTTCAAGATTGAAAAACAAAATGTTCATAAGCAAATTTTCTAACAAGAATATTTCACTAATCTGCATAGATGGCGATGATATTGTAAATGAACCACACGAAGAAGGTACCGTTATAGTTTCTTTATGTTTGACATAACTCATTCAATGTATTTTATTATGTTTGTTTTTGAGAAATTGATGACATTGATCAATAAAAAAAAATTCAAGAATGTGAATGTAAAATGAAATGATTTAAATTAATGAGGATAACACGGTTTGGCTGAATTATATTTAGAATAATACTGAAATGTGAATATTAATCAAACAAAATTAGGACTCCGATTGCTAAATTTACATACTTTCTTTCTTTGAAAATTGTAGGAAAAAAAGCAAGAGGGTTGTCTTTCATGAGGAAGAACAAATAAAGAGAAAGAAGATACACGAATGATCTGAAAGTAGAAAACTTGTGGATGAAGAAGAAATAGGCTAATTAAGAGAGATTTAAAGAAAAGTAAAACCAATAATACAGTAGATGCTTACAAGAAAGTGGATGATGAGTTTAGCAGGATAAACAACGGATGTTACCAAACTCATTGTACCTAACAATGAAGTCATTCTCCGTGTAACAAATAAAATGTTAATAGATATTGGTTTTTTAGGGTTGTTGAACATTCAAATGACAACATTACCATCGTAGCTAGCTTATTACTTGGTGAATAAGTTCGATGAAGAAATATTTTCTATAAGGGTGGAAAGTAAGTGTTTACATATAGACCAGGAAACAATACATGCAATGCTAGGATTACCATTGGGAAACATAGATTTCAGAACACTTTCTGATTGTGATATTGTTGATGGTAAATATCACGAATGTAAAAAAAATACAATGAGGAAAAAGTCAATAACGAGAATTATTTTAAAATATAAGAGCAACAGGTAAAGCAAGCAACACCTTCTGAGTAAATTTAATTACGTTGTTCATGAACACCTTTGCGGGATCATAATGATGGATCATCAATATTGCTTTTGTTAGAAAGCTAATAAAAGTTCTTGACTGAAAGACAGTTGATTGGTGTGGGTATATGCTACATTGCTTGGAAATAAGCAAACTAAAAAGGAGAGCTTCGACTGTATATTGGTCCATTAAAATTGTAGTGTAAAGTAATCGTAAATATAATGTTTCGTGTTATTATAATGTAAATAACAATGCATATATTGTGTAGGAATATAATTTAATAAACAATGCATATAAACTAATCATAAATATAATATTTCCTACAAAACCAGATGCTACAACTTTCTAGAAACATTTTAAAGAAGTTAATGGATAAAAATCTCAACTTTCCTAGCATGCAAGCCTTTAAAATAATAAACACAAACCCTAAATCTAAAACAAGCCTAAAAAGGCTAGAACCTTCTTGCAGGGCTCAAAGAGAGTTTGAGCATGCCCTATTTTCACCTTATTGAGTCTAGAAAAGCCATCCCAATCAACCGCTACACTTGGAGTTCTCCAAACTCCAAGGATACAAGCAAAAAGGAATACAAGAAATAAAGACCTAATAATGAGCCTAAAATGCATATTATATAAGCAAAATATGATAAATATTCAAACTTGAATACTTATAGAGCACAATATATATAATAATGAAGCTTAAACTCTTTTGGATCTAGATTCTAGTGTACAAAATCACTTACTTCTTCTTTAACGTCACACCAAAAGCACCAAGAACACTTAAAATGAGGATAAGAGGATAGGGTTTAAGCTATATGATTTCCGAGAGATGGAGGATGGATAAATGAGAAAATCCTAGAAGTTAGAGCCTTTAAATAAGGTCAAAAAGTCGAGACCTGGGGTTTTGGGTTGTGGTGGCCACGCGTTGTAACCCACATAAGGTTGCATCACGACTAATACATTTGTCACGCGTTGAAACCAACACCTTGTTGTATCGCGATGCCAACCAAAACCAAAATCGTATTCATTAAGATAAATACATAACATACTTGGAAAAATACGTTACAACTTGTACATCAATAAGTTCATCCACGAGTTACTTCATTTATATTCTATGACAAATGTATATATTTTCTCTATTCCTCATCAATCTAAAGTTCATTTAACAACATCCATGTCAGATCCTCTCACTAAATCAACTTCATACATATAACTTATTAACAAGATTCACTTTCTTATGCATACCAGGCTAGACTTTTCCTATGATATCTAACATTTGAGCCAATTTAATATAAAAAAATCTTGTTAATCTCATTGCAATGCAACCTTGCATGTTTTAAGATATATGAAGGGTACACTTTCTCAAGGTATATTCTTCAACAATCAGTCTACTTTAAACTTGGAAGCCTATTATGGTCCTCATTGGGCTGTATGCCCTATAACTTGGAGATTTATTAATAAGTATTTTGTTTTACTTGGTAGCACTCCCATTTAACTGGAGTCAAAGAAACAACTCAACAAGTCACTATTTCTCTTTTATCCGTTAAGGTTTGAGTATAAATCAATGAAAAGAGTTTGTGCTGAATTGTCATTGTCGAGTACACTCTTTGATGAATTACAAGTTCCATATTTCACACCAATATATCTTAAATGTCGAGTATATTCTTTGATGGATGATACTTGGTAGTACCAGTACCGACATACCGAATCCTGAATTTTGTGTATTTAGAGTACCAAGTATCGTCCCATATTTTTTTAAATTCGGTACAGTTTGATACCGGTTTCGGTACATTATCGATACGATATCGGGATTTTGAAAAAACTGTTCATCCCTAAGTCTTTAATAATCCAACCAATTGCAAACACATCACTAACCTATTATGCTTTGTTTTGAACTACTAAAAGATTGCAACAATAAAGTCCCTCTTAAAGTGCAACCATTTTATAATTAGCCCGATTAATAATAACAACCAATAAAATCCGAAATCTGATCGGATCGACCAATAAGCTATCCATCCTAAGACAATATACATCAACCTAGAAAGAATAAAAGTATAATGAACAAATTGATATAAAAGAAATTGGGCCGATAAGTATAAGATTCCGGGCTTTCGGCCCCATAATATAATTTCGAGTGAAGAGTGAATACCTCCGCAACCCAGGCCCAATTAGGGTTTCGCCTCCATATTAAGTTCATTTGGATAGCTCGGCCGCTGTTTCCCTTTGAACTTCTTCGGCACTGCTGCTACCCTGATAGGGTTCTAACAGAAGGTAAAGATCTTCCTTAGCCTCTCAGTTTCATTCTGTCCTGTTATTTGCATCTTGATCTTATCATAACCGTTTAATCGATTTTGTATGCTCCATTTCTTTGTACATTTGGAGCAGACGACGATAAATGTTATGTAGTATTCGATTGATGAACGGTTTAGGTTTTTTTTTTTTTTTTTTTTTTTTTTATGTATGTATGTAGTATACGATTGATTATGAAATTGATAGTTTATACTATGTTTTATGTCTATGCAGAAGTGAAGTTTAAGGCAGCAACAGTTAACAACCATGAGGTATGTGTGTAGATTCAGCCATTTGAGTTTTTCCTTTTCTCAAAAACTTTTTACCTTCTATGCGACTCATGCTATTCAGAGATTTTAACATTTGTTGCGAGTTTTTAATAATCGAATCGAATTTTTATTTGCTTAATCAAGATTATGTTTACTTTCTGTATGTTCAATGAACTTTTAATTTAACAATTCCAATAGACGTGTAGTATTCTCTATCCACAGGTGATTTATAGTGTTGCTCTTCAAATTGAAACTATTTTCTCTCTGTTTCTATGCCGATTCTTATAAATGCGCATCATTTTAAAACTAATTCACATATATTTCAGCTGATTCACAACTAATTCAACAACTAATATCTCAATATCTGATTTCACAGTAAGCTTCAGAGTGAAGCCCTAAGAGAAGCGATTACTCAAATCACCACAGATGCAAAAGAGAAGAAGCGTAATTTCACTGAAACCATTGAACTCCAAATTGGACTCAAGAACTACGACCCACAAAAGGACAAACGTTTCAGTGGAACAGTGAAATTGCCTCACATTCCTAGGCCTAAATTGAAAGTATGCATGCTTGGAGATGCCCAACATGTTGAAGAGGTATAAGCTTTCTCATTGTCATGAAGGATTCATCTCTTTGAAATCTCAATTAACATGTTCTTGAATACTTGTATAGGCTCAAAAGATTGGGCTTGAATACATGGATGTTGAAGGTCTCAAGAAGCTGAACAAGAACAAGAAGCTTGTGAAAAAGCTTGCAAAAAAGCACCAAGCTTTTTTAGCTTCTGAATCTGTCATTAAGCAGATTCCTCGTTTGTTAGGCCCTGGTCTTAACAAAGCAGGTAGAGTTTTTATAAACATAGTTTTGAATTCTTTATAACATATGAATCTTTTTTATTTACTTATATTTGTATATATTAAAATTCAGGAAAATTCCCAACACTTGTTTCTCATCAAGAATCCCTTGAAGCAAAAGTTAATGAAACAAAAGCAACTGTGAAATTTCAATTGAAGAAGGTTTTGTGTATGGGAGTTGCTGTTGGAAACTGCAGCATGGAAGAGAAGCAGATTTTCCAGAATGTTCAAATGAGTGTTAACTTTCTTGTTTCATTGTTGAAGAAGAATTGGCAAAATGTGAGTTTTCTTTTTTAATAGTTTAAATTTTAAAAAAAAAAGTTTTTGAGACTAATTGTTGTTGTTTGGATGATTGATAACAGGTGAGGTGTTTGTATTTGAAGACAACAATGGGAAAGCCCGTGCGTATTTTTTAGGTTGTTTTTTTGGGATTTGTTTTTGTTTGGAGACAAATATTAGTGAGAATTGAGTACTTGGAAGCAGTTATTGCTTTGTGTTTTTTTTGGTTTTGTTGGATGTTTAATTTTTAATTGTATTGGATTTTGGTAATGAGGCTTATGTTTTTAATATGGTCTACTTATTGGTAAAGTTAAGATGAAGTAGCTTATTTTAAAGTGTTTATTTAACTTGATAAACAGAATCGAAATTTGTGAAATTTAAAAAAGGTGAAAAGACATAAAATCTAAAAGCTTTCAGAAACTAAACAATATGGAATTACTTTTGCATTACCATGATTTTTGTTTAAGACTCAAGCTGGAAATGGACACAAATTAATTTGGGATGCTGTTTTCTATTTTTTTTATTCTTTTTTGGATGTTTTTAAATTCTATTATTCTAATTTCTTTTATTTTTTTTTATTTATGTCATATTTATAAAAAACATACAAATTAATAAAACATGATTTCATTAAAATAGTAAAGTAAAAATACCATACAAACCAAAAGAAAAACATTACAAAGCCAAAAAAATATGTTGACCATACAAACCAAAAGAACATTACAAAGCCAAAAAAATATGTTGACCAAAATACATACGATAGTCCTAAAAACACATGATCTGAGAAACTATTCATCGTCAAGTATTTGATATCAGTATTTGCCTTTATCCTTCGTGTCATTTCAGCTCGTTTTGGTGATATATTTTCTCTGTTTGTCGTAAGAATTATCAAATCCTTCGATATACGATCTTGCTCGGCTTTTTGACGAAAGAACTCAAAATGCTGCCGTTGCAATTCATATCTTTTATTTGTGATTTCCGTGTGGACGTCGATTTTTTTTTTCATTTCCTCATGCTCTCATTGGTGCACTTCCGACTAATTTGAGTCCATTTGCCAGTAAGCATATCATGGTTTCGATATGTGTCATTCTTGTTCAAAATTGTACGGAATTTAACAATTACGGCTTCCCAAAAGACAACTCTCCTCATATCGTTCCTCAAAGTTGGTTGTTTTGAAGTCAGACACCAAGCCACCACCAACGCATGCTCTTCCTCCGGTGTCCACCATGTTGGATGTGATTCTGTTTGCTCTGCTCCGCCTTGACCACGACCTCTTACCCTTTCTTTTTTGATCTCCTTTTTTTCCCGATGCTTTATGACTACCCACGACTTGTGTCTCGACAACCGTTTATTGCGTGGGTGGGGGTTGTGTGATTTTTTGTCGCATGAAACCGAATGTGTTAAAAAGGTTTTGTTGAATGTTTGCATTTTGTCGCATAAAAGGCGAGGTAGAGAATTGTAGTGTGGGTGAGACGAGATTGAAAAAATTGTTGAAATATGAAAGTTGTGGTGAGTTTTGCGAGTTGAGAAGGTTCATGTAGCCCTCGTATCCCGCAAAATCTTTTGGAGTGGATGTTTTTATGTTTGGAGGAGGAGTATTCAGGTTTTGATCCATAGTGAGTTTTTGTGTTTGGTTGATTTTTGTATTTGTGTTTTTGAATGATAAAAGAAATAGAGATAGATATAAAGAAATAGAAGTGTAGGTAAAAAGAATGAGGTATATATTTATTTATATAGTTTAAAAAAAATTAATTAGTAATATGTTTTTTGAATTTACCGTTTTAAACGGGTTAAATATATCAGCGTTCGAAAAATTACATGTTACCATCCATTACCATGACAACGCGTCATCACGTAACAACTAATAATGGGAGGGATGGGACGGTGTGTTCGCGTTATGGCGCCGTTATGAGACTGCCAAATCAACATAACGCCGTATGGCGTTGCCAAAATCTGGCGGTCTTAGAATAAAGCTCTAAAGATGTTATTTATTTAATTGGAAAATTTTCTTTAGAACCCATAAGATAAAATCTAGTTTATATTGTATTTAAATGTTTATAATAATGTAGGAGAAATGTTTCTTTGTAACAATCGGTGTAACTTTATATTATTATATATTTTATAACATTAATATTATAAACCTAAGTACAGTTTACTGTTTTCATTTTTCTTCTTATATGAACGTCAAGTTTTAATGAAATTTTCAGTTATGCGTTAAAACTATTGCGCATCTAAATGATACTTCTACATATCGACGGGTTTTCCAAAACTTAATATTATAATACAAATAAAAAAGTATTTTAAAAAATAAATCAAATTTCTTGTAAGAGTTGTATTCGCCTGTGAAAACCATGGTTATTTTTAGCATTTTTGAAATTCTTTTATTTTATCTATGATGAAAATTCATGTAAAGGAAAGACCAGTTATTTTAATAAATTTCTTTACATATTAATTGAGTGAGAAAGAAGGTGGCTTTGTTACGAATAGACGAAATGAAGAATACCTATTAGTCATGGCTAAGAGCCACTCAATCATTTGTAGAATTGTAGGGCCTCTTTTTAGCTCTAAAAACCTCTTATGTGACCAATTTAGACTTTGGGTCTTTAGTGCTTCCAATTGAAATATTTTAGTAAACGTATATTAATAATAATTAGCTCTATAAAGCATGTTATTAGATAATAAATGAAAAATAGTTAGGACCTAAAATCAAAGCTCGATTACAATGATACTAATATACAAAAGTACAACAACAAAAACCTTTTAACAAAAAATGTTACATTTTTGTGGAACAATATAACTGTTGTATGAAAAGAAAAAGCACACTTACAAAGATTAATAAGAGCATAAATGATCCGAGTTTAAGGCTATATAGATATTTATTATACTAAGTACATAATGTTGAACAAGAAGTATAATATAACAAAAGATAGCCTTGTACGAATCCAACTGTAGTCACGAGCTTAATGTGATCGACTACTAAATATTACTTTATTTATTAGCAATTCTTTTTCTCTAAACAAATTATTCCTTATTGAATGGAGACAAACAAAAACCTTGGAGTTTGTGGTAAATACCGTAAATTGCAATAAAATACATGACAGTTGACAATAATTCATATAACCCCCTAAAGTCTATACAAAATAAACAAGCAACACTAAACATTATTTATTTAACAAATCTTCTCCGGTTCGAATCGTAGTTTACAAATGTTCAAACTAGACCTAAAATCAAAATATCTACTTCGAGGGTAACTCATTCGTTAATATATGAGCACATTGGTGAGAAGACGCAACATCTAGAACTCTAATTTGGCAAAGATCATACATGTAAATTTAAAAACAAATAATAAATTGTACCACTTGAACTTCCAACATGTCGGACCAAACCAACCTCGGGTCCATCACATGGGGGATAAATCATGGAGCACTAGTGTTAGAAAAACAATGTTTGAACCTTGAACTCCTATATGAAATTTTGCACCTCGACTACTAGGTTCCTATCATTTGGGTTACAATCTACATCACAAAAGAATATCGTTGCATGAGACAAATGACAATGAAGTTAAAAAAGAAGATTATGAAACCAAACAACCTCTACAACGACAATAACAACATCACAACATTCAAATTTGACACCGAAACAAGTGACAACTTGTTATCATCAAGAAAGACACAATAAACATATATAGATCGATGTGTTTCATGACATCCCACTAACTTTATGTCGATGTAAGAGACCAAACGAAATACCAATGATGGATGAAGTTGAAGACAATGCTTGAGAGTGCCTTGAAGATAGTAAATGATGCATTTTAGCACATTCATATAGTGCTTACGAGGATCATGCATATAGACGCAAGCTTGGTAGACCACATAAGTTATTTCAGGATGAGGAAAGTTCGGTTCGAATAGGAACACCAAATGGGATACAATAAAGAGTTGTATTTGAAAGTAGTTTACTGTTAGAAGGAAATGTGAATTTTATGTCTGTATGTGTTACGAGGATTGCATGAGAGCATATTCAAATGTTTTTGTAGTGCCATAAAGCACATACTAAGAAAGAAAGAGTCTAGAATTTGAGCGAGGTCATAATTCCGTTAAAATACAAGAGATGACATAAGTTAATACTTGTAAATTTGATTGAAAGGAAGGAGATGAAAACTTAATCATGGTGAATGATGCAATAAGAATAATGTCATTAACATGAAGAAGTAGATAGATAATGTCATGCCTGTAATGAAACATGAAGATGGAAGTATCGAATTTGTTACTATGGAAATGTAAGGAAGAAAGATAAATAACAAACCAGTGATACTAAGCACAAGATGCTTGTTTGAGGCAATAAAAATCCTTTTTAAGTTGACTAACATGTTTTAGAAAAGAGGAATGAACATAAATTAGACATTGTTGATCATGTAAATATTCATGAATGCATTTTTAACATCATGCTACCATATCAGCCAGTAATGAGAGACAATAAAAAAGAACTGATACTCGAAACGGTTTGCCTAACATTAATCTGAGTGTTTTGGACTTATCGAAATTCATTGGTCTTCAGAAACGAGAAGTTTAGAAAAGATATGACATTTGAGTCTGAAAAGTTTACAATGTCAAAACACTCTCACAGGCCACATTGGAGATTCGATGTACCATCATCGAGTAACTTAGGTTGTATTTGACGCGTCACAACTAACTTATTTTTCGAGTTTTTTTTTTTTTTTTTTTTTTTTTTTTTTTTTTTTTATGTTTTCAGGTTTGGTAAGCCAAAAAGTAGCTTATAAGCTAACTTTTTGAAAAGCTACTTAAATTAGCTTTTTAGGAGCTTTTTAAATTTTTTTCATATACACCCTTTAATTAATTATAAAAACACATACTCTTACATCATTTTATGTAATTTTATATATTTTAGTTATCTTTTCAGCTAGTTTTATTTGAAAACTTGTTATTTTTACCAAATGTTATTTTTTATCAGTTTATTTAACAGTTAGCTTTTCAGCTAACAACTACCTTTTCAGCCAGTACGTTAAACATAATCTTAGTATTAATATGAAATATAATTGAATAATTTATTTGGAAACTTGTTTTTGTTATATATTTTAAAGGGAAAAACAAAACTTATATTTGTATAAAGTATAAACAAAGATTTAACTCTTTCATAATTAAAAAAAAAAAAAAAAAAAAAAGAAGCGGCGAGTTTGTCTGTGCAGTTAGGGTATCATTTGGTTTAACTCAATTCTTCGTCTCTCTATAGATGCCAAACGCCACCTTCCAAGTTCCAACCCCCTTCTCCTCTCTATAAATAAACCCTCCTTCTCAATTTTTCATAAACCTCGATTCCTCCGCTTCATTGCATTTCTCTCCCGTAAGTAACTTCAAATCCTGTTTTTCTCTGATCTGTTCTTCTTATGCTATTTTTATTTTCGTCCAGAGATCTTCATAGTTAATGCCGTAGTTTTCTGTATTATCTGTATCTGTTCATGTCCTTATGGTTGGTAATTCATTCATGTGTGCTCTAAATCTTAGATTTAAGTTGATATCGTCATGAGATTATCATCTGAGTTTGATTAGATCTGTTTCAGCGGTGTTCCTTTTCGAATCGCGTGTACTGTAGCTTATTGCGTCTATTGATACTTCGACATATATCGAGAACAAATTGAACTTGATTTGATTCAGCTTCTAACTTTGGAAGTAGAAATTTACAAAATTTACAAAATTGGGGAAAACTTTTTGTTTGCGATGAGAGCTTACATGCATGAGAAATTACTTGTTGAAATCTATAAAGGATTGCGAAATTTACATAGATCATGTCTCTGATACATTCAATTGTTATCATTTACATAGCGAATTGAAGCCCTAACTTTCGAATGTTTTTCAGGTCACAAAATGTCGGCCATCAGACTTACTACCCCAACCACCATCATAACCACACCGAAAACCTCCACCACTCCCAGCGCTTTCCTAAAATCCCCCTCCACTCTTCCATCAATCAAGAGCGTCTCAAAAGCTTTTGGCTTGAAATCAGGGTCGTCTTTCAGGACAACAGCCATGGCGACATACAAAGTCAAGCTAGTTGGACCAGATGGAGAAGAGAATGAATTTGAAGCACCTGATGATTGTTACATTCTTGATTCAGCTGAAAACGCTGGAATTGAACTGCCATATTCTTGCAGAGCTGGAGCGTGTTCAACCTGTGCTGGAAAGATGGCTACTGGATGTGTTGACCAGTCTGATGGGTCTTTTCTTGATGATAATCAAATGAAAGAGGGATACTTGTTGACTTGTATTTCTTACCCTACTTCTGATTGTGTGATTCATACACACAAAGAAGGTGATCTTTATTGAGTTTGGTATGTTTTTCTGATTATGTTGGTTCTTGTTTATTATCTGGATTTTGAATTGTTTGTGGTAGAAGGTTTTGAAACTTTGTTGTCTAGAATTGGATGTGTTTTATGATGCGGAATGTTAGTTTTTGTTGTTAGTAATAAGTGATTAAGTGAAATTAAAACTCGTTTCTGATATTGAATTAAGGTAAAGAAATATTTTCTTAACGCATATCTATTCTTAATATTCCAATAAGGCACCTTAATGGTTATGGAATAATAACATCAGTTCCATCTTCTTAAAGTTTATAAAGTTCAAAGTTGAATAAACAAATTGTAAGTAACAATAAATATGGTGTTATGTTATTCCTAAACGTTGAAACTGTGTAAAAATGGCGATGAATTTGAGCAATTTTACATTGAATTTCATGTAAAACTGAAATTTGGTGTTGATTTCACTAGTTGAGATACCTAAGCAACAAGTGCGACGTGAAAGCGCAAGAAGAATCCAAATTGAGTCATTGTAAGTTTAGCTTGGTGTTTGAGCGGATTGAAATTGCTTTCGGTTTTAAATACTGGTTTTTTTCCCTTCAAAAAGTTGATTTTTGGGTAGTAGAAAAAAATCATTTCCATCAATTAGTTATTTAATTTGTTGTTGATATAATGTTTTGGAGGTTTTACAAGAAATGTTTTGATGGTTAAACAATCTAGAATGCAAAGAAATTTTTTAATGAAGTTCTAAATGTTTTTTTTTTTGAATGGAAAAATCTCGATTATTTAACATTTTTTTCCAAAAGAGCACTTGATCATGTGATAATCTCACAACTTCGGTTTTTGATTGGTAGTCAAACACGGTTGTATACACAGGATATGGATGTGTTTCCTAATCCAACAGATCATATTTATCATATCTGGTTTTGTCTAATCAGTTAAATTCGATTTTTGGGTTGGATCAAATTTTTGGCCCGAATATGATTCTTTTGTGCATCCCTATATGAGATGTTACTACAATGTAGGATAAGTGTATATTAAACTCAACACCTTGGGATGAAGAATTATCCTAAATTGGTTACAGATAACTAATTTGAATGATATATCATTGTGCCCAAACTTTGTTGTGTGTGCTTGTTATGTTATATGATGAAGGTATTGATTCCATTGAACATATTTTTGTTTCTTGTTCTTTAGCATGTCAATTATGGTGTCAAATTAGCATCTAATAAGAAATTAAATAGCCAAACTTACTATAGCTAAGTGATGGTTTATGTGGGTGGATCAAACTCAACTAAAGATTGAACAAAGATAATTCTTGATGATATTTTTCTTACTGTTTTTTGGGTCTTACAATTTATCGGAATGCTTGCGTCTTTGACACCACTAAGCCGAGACCTAATGATTTATATGATAAGTTGTTTTTCAATCGTTTTCTTTATGGCTTTGCATAGGTTGCTTAAGGGAAAATCAGGCAGTGTTTGTTTTTTGCAAAAAACTATTTTTAAGTATTTATGTCTACGGGTGAGAAGACATTTACGTCTGCAGAGTTTTGAAGTCTATTTGCTTTTTAGAAGACGACAGACATCTACAGATGTCAAAAGGGAAAATATCATATTAACCCAACGAACTTGTTACTTTTGTTTTAAAATTGTACATTTTGAAATATAAAGTGATTGGTTTAAATGGTCCCTAGTAAATCTGTATTGTAATGGGAGCCACAAGGAAGACGCACCACAAAGACACCGCCTCCGCACAACTACAAGAACTGCCGGTGCCGCCTTCTGCTACCTCTTTCTTCTATCTCATTCGACTATTCTATCTACCTGCAAGGTTTCTTCCTTATCTGTCGCACAAAAGGGTTTTCTTGTTTGCAATTCCAATCGTGAAGTGTGGTTTAACATTTGGGATAAGCTCCGGAAGTCTCTGTTCTCAAATGTATTTCATTGATCTTTCCTAGAAATGGTTTTAAAAATTTGATTTGTGTGAATTCAGAGTTACGTGAACTGAATCGTATCTCACATCCTTTTATATGTTGAATTCCTTGAATTCTCTAGTAATTCCATTATTTTCCACTTAATTACAATATTTGTGCAGAAGTAGACGAGATCACGTCAGTATTCGTCATCATATCACAAAATAGATCATCCATTTCTGAACTACGAGTTTAATGTTGTCAATGTTTAGTTATTTTAATTGTTTTGAAGTTGAACCCGCCTAATAATTTTTCTCAAAATGCCTAGAATCGACATAAATGCTCCAAATTGCTCATATGCCAAGCTCCCTTTTAAATGTTGTTAGCAATTTAATGGTGTACCCTTGTACTAGGGTTTCCAGATGAACAAGCTATGGTGGAGGAAGCAGAAAAAATATCGGATAGCTTTTCAAGTTGCTTTTGGTTGGAACTGCACAATTGGTGAATACAATATCTTTCTATACTTAGTTATCCAAATTGTTCTTAAAATGATTCGTCAATTACTTTAGGCAAGATTTCAAAAATGGATTTTTTAGGTGATAATCTGATACACAGTTAGTGTCATTTCTAGGTGCGAGTTCCAACGATGTTGGGTTTTGCAGAAGGTTTCAGTAGAGAAAAAAGCTTGGGAGGTTGAGAAAAGGTGATTGTGTCTGCAAAAGATTACACCACCAACAATATTGTTGAAGGGAAGGATACTGCTATTGGAAAAATGGAGAAGATGCGGTTGAAATTTAATTTTCTTATATGTGGAAAATGATATGGCTTACATTTTACCGGGTTACCCGATCATTTCTTCAATAATGACTTTTTAAAACCATTGATAATCTACTTCATTCCCCTTATGTACAAAAAAATAAATTTGATAACTTTTTAAAACAAAAGCGATAAGTTCGTTGGGCTAATATGATATTTTCACATCTCAAAATGTATGCACGTTAAAAGGCCTGAAAAAATGTCTGCGGCCGAAAATACCTTTCTTGCAGATCTATTCTAAACAAAATAATAAATAAATAAATTATTAAATAATTATTTTGAGTTTTAGGTCACACCTCTTTTTTTCTATAAAAACACCGAAAATCACCGGCTCTCCTCTGTAGCGAACATCCCCTCGACCAGTGCCATCGTCGTCGACGCCTCCCTCACCCGAGTCCTTGTCGTTGCAAACCGCTACTGCCATTGTTGGAATCTACTGCTCTTTCATTTGTCGGAATTTGCTTTGCTTCTATCTGCCTTTGTCGAAGCTACTTCTACCAGGTAAGGTCTTGAATTTTGTCTTGCTAGAAGTTTCTTGTTCCTTAATGAAATCGATGAACTCGAATTACATAAATTGTTTTGTTACATTTTGTCATTCTTGGGATTTATGTTTCATACCTAGTTCATACCGAGACAACATGGGGTTGAATTTGATTTTTTCCAGAATTTTATTACATAGGTTTGCTTTTTTGTGATACTATTATCTATGAACTTTTCCGGCCTCCATGAAGATGATTTTGAATTTTTTATTTGTTATGGAAGATTTATGAAATTGAAACTTGGAGGGTGCTTATTTCTGAATTTATGCTTTTATTTCTGAATTCCAACCTCAATAAAACTATTGTTAAATTTCTGACATGTGGTATTTCAGTGGACCGTGAATATATCTCCGTTACGAGATGAAATTGCTGAACAATTCGATCCAAAATATGAAATGAATTACTTTAAATAAATTTGTTATTGTAAAACTAAAATATTACGGTGGTATTGATTTTATTCCAGTTTTGTAAGATCAATTAGTTAAATTTCGGTGTTGAAAAATATTTTAAGTTTATAAACTCAGTTTATTTAAATTTCAGTTTATTTTTATCAGCTAACGGATATTAAAAAAACAAACAATCATCTTTTTGTAGACTGCAAATGTTTGTCCACCTCTTCTACTAGTTTGCAGATATGGCCATAGACTGCAAAAGTTTTAGTTCTGAAAAACAAACAACGCCTTAGATTAGGGATGTTATTCAGGTTGGAACCGAAGCGAACTGGTCTAATAACACGAAATCCAAATAAGGCTAAATGGAAGAACTGAAACTCAAACATATTAACCTAATACATGTTTGCTCGGTTCGGGTATTAATCGGTCCGAATAGGTTATTATCCGAATAAATTTCACAACATGACTAACAATCTAATATAACTGAAAAGAACCAAATAAACCATATTATTATTCCATAACCCGAATAACATTTACAATATGATTATAAACACTGCATTTTTTATTACTTTCTAGCTTATGATTCCATAACAAACTTTTAAATAAACAAATTTGTTGATTGAAAATAATGAATGTACATGTAATTGTTCAAAAGTGCAAAAAATGTCCATATTTGTGTAGTAAACATGCACAGTAAGAATAAATATATAATTGTAGACTTATAGGTAAACACAGATTATATATTTGGTATGTTTTTGAGATATAAGAATGTAAAATACAAACACTAAAATCATACAAATTGGGCAAATAATGAAGACGCTATAAGAGTTCAAAGTCGCCTAAATTTCTACAAACATGTTGAATAGAAAACAAATCTTCAATACCCTATGTTTAGGGGTATGTATCTTATTGAATATATAACTAAAAATAACATATAACTACGTAAACAATAGTTTAAACTGTGAACCACAAGCTGGAAAAAAATCAGGCAAATTGGACAAATAACGAAGATGCCATGACAGTTCAAAATTGTCTAAATTTCTGCAAACATGCTGAAATTTTCGGTCGGGTATTTGGAACCGATTATGCTTTTATTTGGGTAACCTAAACCGAAAAACCCGATAACCAAATAAGCGTAATATAGATACTCGAAACCCGAACCAAAATGCTTATTCTGACATAATTCGGTTCACTTCATATTTTCGGTAAAAAAAAGCTCATCTCTACCTTAGATTGAATCGAATGACTTAAATTTCCATACAAACTATTTCCGTAATGTAATTTGTCTAATATCCATGTTAATTACTTTGCAAAAAAATTAAAGGGAATATATATATATATATATATATATATATATATATATATATATATATATATATATATATTCCTATTTATTGCATTCCATTGATTTTTTGTTTTTTTGTTTTTTTATTTTTATTTTTGTCTTTTTATTGTCTTTTATTATTATTATTATTATTATTATTATTATTATTATTATTATTATATCTTCTTTTAATATTATTTTTATAAAATACAACCAATATTTATTTAATTCATGATTTAATTGCATTTTTTTCAAGTAATAAAGAATATTTATAAATATGAAAGTATTAGAATACCACCTAAAAATATAGTACATAATAAATATATGGTTTTTATTTGAAGTTTTCTATATCATAATAAGCTTTCAGTGAAAAAGAACAAGGGCTTATTTTGTAATTATTTAAAATACATTATATAATTTAACAATACAAAGAAGAAGGGATTATTTATTTATAATATTTACAAACAAAAAAAAAAAAAAAACTTAAGCTAATGAAAAAGAAGAAGGGAAGTATTAATTTTATCCTTATTCAAAATTTGGGGATTATATAGTAATTAATAAAAGTGATGAATAATTATTTAATATATCTTAATGTAATAAAAAAAAAACTAATTTAATAAACAAATCTAAAATAACAGGTGGCTGGGATCTTGGAATGATTGATATGAAGAGAAGTATAATTGATCAAAAAAAATTATTGGTTTATTTGATTATCAAATAAATAAATTTGATTTAATCGTTTAAATAAGAGATAGAATAGAAATAAAGCGCGAATAATAGCACCTAAAAAGAAATTATCGCGTTTATTATTATTATTATTATTATTATTATTATTATAAGCAGCAAATGAGATATCGCGTTTATTCTAAAACAAAAAATTAACAAAAATGATTACGTAATGTGTTAGCTCCATATACTTGTATTCAAATCGACACATGTCTCTTACTATCAACACGTGTCATCACGTTTTCAATCGACATGTTTTCGTCATCACCACCTTGCCTTGTCATTACTCCCAAATGGCAAAATGCGTAACGACATTCACATGTGGTTGTTGAGTTGTTCATGACTATGCTCATCTATACGTAAAATTTATAAAAAAAATGTCATCGAAGATTTTATTTTTTCAGTTCAACCATACAATTAGGCGATACGACGTACCTCTACTTATTATATATATGGTGTGCTGAGGTGGCCTCCAGTCCTACAATTTTACTACTACACTCTCAAAACACTCCGTATTTTTAACATTAGATTCAAACAATTTGTTTAAGGGAAAATGACTTAAAAGCCCAACAAAGTTTTCAAACCGTTTAAAAAACCCCAATCATATTTTGTCTGTTCAAAAAAACCCAACAAACTTAACATTTTATCTAAAAAGCCCAACTAAGTTACACTTTCTCGAAAGTCAAATAAGAGAAACAGATGACGTGGCTTATTACCGTATCGGAAAAATGACTTGTTAGACTAACGAAGTTTACAAAACGTTTAAAAAACTTCAATCATGTTTTGACTGTTCAAAAAAAAACCCAATGAACTTAAACAAAACAAAATTGGAATTTTCTGAACGGTTTGAAACTTTGTTGGACTTTTTAGACAAAAGGTTAAGTTCGTTGAGTTTTTTTGAACAGACAAAACATGATTGTGATTTTTTGAATGGTTTGAAAACTTCGTTAGGCTTTTAAATCATTTTCCCTTTGTTTAATTACAATCTACTCGTTATCCATATCTAACACACCTCGTGGTTCTAAAGAACTTTAGAGTAACGACCATGTTATATTATATTAACATAAACGGTAGAACACAAGTATGCTGTTTCGATAGTCTGACACCCAAATCCTGTAATATAAATCACCCCATGCATAGGTGCATACTAATTTATTGGGTGGAACCAACCATATTTTTCTTCTCCACGAAACCTATTTCACCCGAGAGCAAAACAAACCACAAGGCGGCGATGATAAAGGAACCATACCCGAAACCCAAAACCCAAGCCGAAGCATCCAAAACGAAACAAAAGTCCAAAAAGTTCACACCAAAAATCTTATTCGTCCAACGATCCCTCAAACATGGAGGAAGATGCCGCATTGTCAACACCATACATACGAGGATCCTGTAACAAGTAGCATGCAAAAGTAGAAGTGTTTGTGGGACCGCGTTATGGAGTAAAAGAAACATTTTTTTATTTATATCAACTTATCAATTTTTTTCTAATAGGTATTATAAATCGGTAAATAACATTAATGTAAAAACCAAATTCAATTTATAAATTAACTAAACTATAATATTAAAATATTAAATTTTATTTATATTTATAAAATTACGATTTTAAGTTTTTAACATATTATAGTTAATTTATTAGTTTAAATATGTTGTCATATGTGAGTATATGCAAAATAATCAAATTATTAATTTCAATATAATGTTAAATGATGAACTTAAATTCAGTTAAGCTTGAAAAAAATTAGACTATTTTATAAATAGATAAAAAAAATTATAAATTATAGTGTTAAACCTAAATTGTAATTCTTAATTAACAAAAAAACCATGAAACTATAAGAATTTTCAAATAAATAGCTTAAAAATAACTTACAATAAGAATAGTTAAATGATTACAATCAAAGAAACCACAAATATTCATCAAATAAACTTTTAAAAAGTTAAATTTATGAAACTAAAATAATTAAGAATTTCAAAATACGTTACTTTAAATAACTTATAACAACAATAGTTAAAAGTAATATTATATACAAAAATTATATTGTTACCTATAAAAAATAATAATTTTTGATGCTTTAAATAATTATAATGATAGAAATTAAAATTTTAAGCAAATAAACTTTTTAAAATTAAT